TTTATTGTTCAATAATAACAAATTAAATGCATAATCACAATCGTTTTCGAATTTTCAAATTTTTTGCTGTAAGTAAACATTTTATCATTTTACGGATTGCTTTAAACGTCATTTTTCACTGATGATAAATGTTAAAACTTCAAAATGAGAAAAGCAGTTTTTTGTGGTGTGCTGTAAGAACCGTTACTCATAGCTATGCTTAATTTAAAAGTTCTAGAGGGTAATGAAGTAAGATAGGAAAATTGATCGAATTATTATGAACAAATGAGTATCCTTTTCGAAAGTTATAATTTGAAATTTAAATGGTTGGATTCTTTTTGACTGGAAATTTCTCTTTTGTTTTGCTTGCCTGTTGATTGTTTCTTATATGCTAATCATCCCTTAGCGTTTCATGAAATCTCAATTCATGTTTTATAAATTTAATAGGAATGATTTTTTTTAAGAAAGTTTAACTCTTTCAATAATTTTTTTTTCAATGATTTGTTCTCTTCACTTATAATTTTATCCACGCAAGCGAAAAATAATCATTTCGAAATCTTAATTTGAATATGATTATACGAAAAGAAATAAATGACAGATATCTTCAAATTAGAGCAATATTTCTTCGTTCCATGATTTTTATTTTTAAATTTTCATCATAAATTTATCAACATATTTGCTAAAAGGATGATAACTTTGATAGATTGAAATGATTTTGTTTATTATTTATTGATGAAACTTTGTTTTTTTATATTATTAACTTGCAGTTTCAAAATTTTTTTTAATTAGAAGAGAACGATAGTTTTACATATTTTAAAACATTGTTCAGGTATAAAATAACAATAATATATTAAATTCATGATTTTAGCAAAAGTGTGAAAAAAATGTCACCAGGTAAAAATCATAATAAATAACTATTTTAGAGTGTAAAATAATTTACAAATAGTGTAGTTCAGTACTATTTCATTTACATGCCAAAAATGAACAAAAAAGTAAACTTTTTAATTTTCTATTCAAGAAAAATTTTGGAATGATAGCATAAGCATTATAGCAAACAATCATTTATTCAAATATTTTTCCGTTACAAAATAACAAAACCAAAGACTTATTAGTATTATTTGCCTTAATCCACTGAACAAACTTTTTTTTTGAATACATATTTAATTAGACTTCTATTTCCGAACAATTTTCATTATGAACTTTTAGAGGTCAAATGCTAATGATAAACACAAACAGTCAATCAGAATTATTTCAGTGAAATATAGTAGTATATGTATGCGTGTAAGGAATTCAATAGAGAAAAATACGAGTTGTTGAAGTGGATTTTTTTTATTTTACATTTTGAAGTGCTCGTTCATCTTTTCAGCTCATTTTTTCACAATATACCATCCTGTTCATTGTATCAATTATCAGCTATCACCTATCACCTCATTCCCTCTACTTTATTTCTGATTAAAAGTCTTACATAAAACTATTTATATTACAACTTTTCTCATTTCAACCATTCTAAAATTTTCTAATATTAACAAATACACATTGTTATGAAAAATGCAGAATTTTTCCACTATTATATAAAATATTTGCACTAATTTTTTTAGCTTTATTTTTATTTAAAAAATTTTTTAAATTTAGATAAAGAATTAAAAGCTGTTTGTTTTAAAGTAATTTCGATGAAAAAAATAAAGAGCTTGAAAATTTAACCATTGAAAATCAAAAATGCGTTAAAAAGGATGATATATTTTCAGTGATATAATTTCAATCAGTGATAAAATTAATTCCTTCCTTTTTTTTTCATTTCTTATCATCTAATCACTTCTAACCGAATTTGTGATAAATGTAATCTAAAACAGTGAATATAATATTTTACTCCTGCATTTTTCACATTCCACATCGGGCACTTTCCATCTCTTTCATTTGTTTTTTTTTTGTCCCATTTTTCATTTTAAATTTATTTTTGACAAACTGCGGCTGTAACGTAAAATGAATTTATAAATCACTGAAATGGCATTAATCCTTCTCTGTCTATTTCCTACCTCTTTTCATTCATTCACCTTTGAAATTGTTTAGATTAAAACTATGCCATTTGTATCGTTTTCACTATTAAAAAATTTGAAAATATTCTTGGTTCAACCAATCATCAATTGGCTTTATGATAATTGACGAAACAAACAAATAAACAAAACATTTTATTTTTAAAATTCTTTCGGTCAGGTAATTTAAATAATTCAAAATTTACCGCATCTCTTAATAATATATAACTTATTAATTGCTAATGAGTTGAATAAGTCAATAAATGAACTAAGCGAAGTTATAATTCACTACTAACTTTTAAAAAAGCTATATAAAACTAAATTTGATGTAAGTTAAATTTTATGATTTAAGGCATGTCATAAAATTTCATCGTTGAAGAACAAAACACTAAACGGATGTATAACAAGTAGATTAAAAAGATTTAAACCTAGCTTGAAAAAAATAATTTCAGAAGGCTATATATTCTAATTTTTTTTAAATTTAAATCACATAAAAGTATGGGGAGCACCATATCAAATATTTTGGCTTCATCAGTATTAGCACGTTTTTGTTTCGTTTTATCTTACCTCATCTTATTTTTTATTTTTCATCAAATTTTTTTGCAGTGTTTTTTTGTGCCCTTTTAATTTATATCATCAAATTTTTTTTGCAATGTTTTTTTCTTCCGATCCACCGCATAAAAATAAAGATTCAGTATGTTTACATACCTGTAAAATTGCGCATATATTTTACTTTTTTTCTTTTTTAAGTAAGATATCCTCAGATTAGATAATTTTTGATTTTTTAAAAGAATTATTTAGCGCATATATTCTTACAAACAAAGCAGGAAATCGAAAAAGAAGTTTATTTAGTTATTTTTATTTTTGATTTTCAAGCTTATTTTAGAATTTTATGCTATCATCGTTAATTGAGCAGTTCGAGTTGATGAGAGATTTTCAGGGAGAGACAGAGGGAGAGGGAGAGAGTAAGAAACAGCTAGTCAGAATAAAATTGTTCTATCAAATAAATGTTACATTAACTATTTTACATGAAATATGGAAGAGATATTAGAAAGTAACTTGTCCTTAAATTTATTTTTTTTCATTTGTTTAAGAATAAAGCATAAATTTCTTATTGTATTTCATTTCGAAACTAATTTACAAATTTCCTGTTTTCTTTTCATTTTTTTTACCTTTCTTCATTTTTGATTTTGAAATTAGCATTATTTTTCTTATTCAATGATTATGTTCATTTTACCGTCATCATCGAAGAAAAAAATTGTTCTTTTCATTTATTTTTAATTTTGATCTTTCCTTAATTTTCACTTTTTCTTTTTTTATAGATCATTTCGAATCTATTTTTAGAAAAAAAAAAACATTTTTTTTAAAAACTAATCGTGGTTAAAGTGATTGAAGGCGAATTGAATTCGTAATTCATCTCGAAATATTTTAATATTATAACTTCTTCCTGAATTCGTTTTGTTTAAAAATAAATGAAGCTATTTAAAGTCTTCCTAGCAGCTTTATTTTGCCTGTTATATGAAAAGTTATCGTACAGATTTAGATTTGTAAAATTTCGATTTCTGAATAAATTGTCCGAAAATTTTTTAACGACTATAATATATGCTGACTGTAGCAGTAATTTGTTCCACTTTTTATTAATTAATTGGAGAAAAAAATAGTACGGATAATGATTATTAAAGTTATAAAGTGTTAATTGAGAGTTTACTATAGGTTGTTAAATTTCAGCTTATCGCAACTCAAAAAAAAAACTATTTACAAATTGTAGTTTGTTCAGAAATAAAAACTAATAGATTCCTTTAATTTTGATTTGCTTTTTTAAATATGTGCATTTGTTTCTAAAATTTTTTTCAACCGAAATGAATTTTTTTTGTGAATCTTTTTTTTTGATTTGTACAATTTTTCAACCAATACGTTAATGAAATATCATTAATGAATTTTCACCGTCATTACATGAAAAGAGAGAGAGAGAGAAAGAGACAGAGAGCTATGTTAAATTTTTTTCTGTTAGAATTAATGAAATGGAAGAAGGGCTATCACTTTCATTGCTTCTATTTGTTTAACGTTCCACTTTTTTTTTTCCTTTTTTTTAGTAAAATTAGCCAATATTTCAGATATTGAAATTTTCAATGAAAATATTTAATTATATTTTATTGTTTAATGATGAATTTCATCTTTTGCATTGTAGCTTTCATGCTCATTTCATGAGCTCTTTTTAAATCAATTTAAGTTTCAGTAGTTGTTGTTCAAATGAATTCATGGATTTAAGGAGAGATGAAAAATTGAGTAAAATAATCAATTAGAATTGATTTGTGCCACAAAAATTTATTCATCTTTTCCTATTTCTTATTTGCTAAATATTTGCATCACTACTCTATCATTGTATTATAAAATTCTCTTTTTCAGCAATTAGTTTAGGAGAAATCTATCTACTTAAGAGGTCAAAGGTAATCTATACATCCAGTAATGATATCTATTAATAAGTTGGTTGGTTGTAGATATTGATCTATCCAAGATGGATATATCATATAATTTATCCCCATATCATTTATGATTATTCTCTTACAACTGATATAGCGTCAGTTAATTGCTTATACGTTAAAGGTTAAAGTGCAGCAGTATATTTCATTTTATTATTGTTGTTAATACAAGGAAGCAAATTAAAACAACGGATAAGTAGTAGTAGAAGTGGACAAAAACAACATTTATGGTACGATTGGCTATTATCGAAGAAGTAAATAGTTTTTGCAAACATTTACATATATTCCATCCATTACATCGATTTGCAATCTGTTTAATTTCAGAGAGAATTAAACAGAGGAATGATGGAAATAATTTGGATTTATTTTTTCTTTTTGAGAATATTTAAAATGTGTCGTTTTGTAGAATTATTTTGAATCGATGACATTTCCAAATTATATTTTATTAAATTTTCATTAAAATACTTTTGATTGCAATAGGACTGTTTTCCTTCTATTGACAGTGTCATTAATGGATAGCAATAAATCAATAGTATGTTTTGCCTATATGGAAAGATTATTGTAAATTTATTTGTAAAATTTGCTCATCCAATAAATTATTTCACTATTTACTGGAATTTTTAAATTTCACTATACCAGTAAGCTGATTATTGCTAATCACAAATATGGAGAGTAAAATGATATATCAACAAATGAAACAAATAGCTTTTATTAGAAATAGAAATATCTCAATAAATTTTAAAGATTATTAGAGGAATGAAAGTTTCATAATACTGAAATTTAAATTGATGCCAATTCTAAATTTTTTAAATTGCAAATTTTGAAATGGAAATTTAAAATTAGAATCGAATATTTTTCATTTTAGCTTGAAATACCATCACGTTTGATACGTAAAAATGATAGCAATACAACGAAGCGATCACGTAGCCATCCAGTACATTCACCAATTCACATTGATAGCGATGATGAAAGTGGTATATTTATTTACACTTCTTATCGATTTTTATGAGATAAAACTAACAAAGTCTTGAATTATTTACATTCAGTAAATTTAAAGAAGGAAGCAGAAAATTTTTCAAAAATATGCCGCATTTAAAGAAATACAATATAAATGAGCTCAAACTGATTAGAAGAATGCCAAATCCTTTTTATTATTTTATCAATTGATAAGATGATAAAGGGAATACGAAGTGAAATAATGAACGATTTATTTCAGAGAGCGGATCCGCAACAGCATCTCATATATCCCGGATGAGTGCATATGCTCTGTTCAGCGGATTTCGTGCACCACAAACTACCTCTTCAATTAACGATCATAGCGTTCGTAGTTCCGTACATAGCGCTTCATCATCTCTCACCACTTCCAGTACAATGTCCAGTAGTGATGAGCAGGTGGTCAAATTTCGAAAAAAATTTTTAAGAACTGAAAACTTCAAGTTTAGGAAAAAGTTTTTTTCTTTTCAACTTTTCCAATTTTGATTGAAAAGGTTAGTGTAAGTCGAAATGAATATGGGTGTGATATAAAATTGTAATTAGACTTAGTAGAATTTCTGTTTTTCATTCCAATTCCACTAATATTATGAGTTTATTCTTATTCTAAATTTTCCGTAATATTTTTATTTAACGCTAAAATATGAGAGAAATCAGTGAATTAAAATGAATCTGGAACCAATTACTTTGAATTCATTCACGTCCAATCGTAATCTATTTTTGTTCTATCTTAAAATTTTCTTTTAGTCGATTGTTATTTAATTAATTTAAAAAATTTTCAGTGTTTACTATCAGTTGAAGCAGTTTGGGATCATGTAGCAATACTACCGAATGAATTACCATTTGTAATTGGTGATATCATCTCAGTGCTTGATTATTCATCACATGAACTTTGGTATGGTAACTGTCGCGAAAGAGTTGGCTGGTTTCCATCATCTTATGTTAGGGTCAGTTTGTTAACCTTATTAGATTGTTCTTTATCGGGAAGACTAAAGAATTAAGAAGAAATAGTGCAAAGAAAAAAACAACTAATTCTTCAAAAACGTAGCAAAAAAGCATGGAAAAGCAATGACCAAAATTTGTATTAAATTTTTACTATAAAAGTAAAAATTTTCATGCTAACATTTCAGGTATTAAATAGCAATCCGACTTCAGACTTCACAACTTCAGACGCTCTCTCATTAAGTTATTTTCCACAATCAATGAGATTTTTACGAGCAAAAATAGTTCAAGAATTGATGCAAACAGAACGTGATTATGTCAATTTACTGCAAAATATTGTTCAAGTGAAGAAATTTTTTACTTTTTTATTCATTAATTAATAATTCGTGACACTATTGGAATTCCATTACTAAAACTAAGTTTAGGGTATCTTTTTTTTGAGGGAAGATAACAATTAAAAAAATTTCAATTTTAATGAAATGACTCAATTTTGAACTTTTATCAATTTTTGCTAATCACTTTTTATTTATTAGCACTTAGTCTTGTTAAATTGTGATAGTAAGTTGTGGTGTAATATGATTTCCAATTATTATATTAAATATCTTAACTTCGTTCTTTTGTTTATTCAAAATCTTTTTTTTTTTTGAAATTTTCCGCATAGCATATATTTCTTGCAGGGTTTTACAGAGCAATGTCGTCGTCGTAGCGATCTATTCTCGGCAGCATGTGTGCAACGTCTTTTCGGCAATATCGAATCGATATATGCTCTACATTGTAAATTTCTTCGAGAGCTTGAATTGGCATTCAATCGAAATGTACCCGAGAGCTCTGCGATTGGAGCCATTTTTCTCCGAAACGTTAACTTTCTCATTTTATTCTTTTCATTTACTGTTTGAACCAAATTTAGTGTTAAAAAATGATACTTTCAAAGAAATAAATTAGTTCTTTAGTAGCGAGAATAGAATTAAACTAAACTAAATTGAACTAATTTTTAAATGGATCTAAAGGATGAAATCTTCCTCATAGCTTTTTCTATCATGGTTCAGAGTTTATGTATGCTACGATATCTTTACATTACAAAATATTATTTCTAGCGTTCAAAATTTTCTATCTATTCGGAATATTGCAATAATCGACCTGTTTCGAGTTCTGAGTTAGCATTACTCAATGAACAACCCCATTATTACCAATTTTTCGAGGTAATTTTCAAATAAACAACCTTTATATAAAACATTATGTTAGTGTTTTTGAAAATAACAAAAATGTTGCAATGATATGGCCAATTCTTTTTCTGATTTGAGTTTTTATTTTAATTCCTTTACATTTCTTAAAGTATGTAAACACCCCGAATTTTGCTTTCAATTCTTCTGGTTAAAAGAAATGCATAGACCTTTTATTTTTTATTTTTTTATAAAATATTAAATTTATCACCTTAAATATGACTTTTCGTATGATTTTGATTTTAAGCACTTTTTATCTTATTAATGTAGAAATTTTAGGCATGTCGACTTCTTCGAGGTATGCCAAAGCTACCATTAGAGGGATTTTTATTAGCACCTGTGCAAAGGATATGCCGTTATCCGTTGCAATTATCAGAATTACTGAAAGCAACGCCATCATCACATATCGACAGAGAACCAATAGAGGTATATGA